AGTCCTCGGTGCACGTCAAGCGCATGGAAGCCCGGCCTCCGACCTCGTCGCCCGCAGGCGGCGTGGTCCGCGGCGGGCACCTCGACGACGGCGAAGAGCGACTCGGCGCGGCCGGCGGCCGGCGCGCCGGGACCCGCTCCGCTACGTCTTCGAGTCCTCGGTGCACGTCAAGCGCATGGAAGCCCGGCCTCCGACCTCGTCGCCCGCAGGCGGCGTGGTCCGCGGCGGGCACCTCGACGACGGCGAAGAGCGACTCGGCGCGGCCGGCGGCCGGCGCGCCGGGACCCGCTCCGCTACGTCTTCGAGTCCTCGGTGCACGCCAAGCGCATGCAAGCCCGGCCTCCCACCTCGCGGCCCGCCGGCGGCGTGGTCCGCGGCGGGCACCTCGACGACGGCGAAGAGCGACTCGGCGCGGCCGGCGGCCGGCGCGCCGGGACCCGCTCCGCTACGTCTTCGAGTCCTCGGTGCACGCCAAGCGCATGCAAGCCCGGCCTCCCACCTCGCGGCCCGCCGGCGGCGTGGTCCGCGGCGGGCACCTCGACGACGCGGAAGAGCGACTCGCTCTTCCGTGGCGCGTCCGGCGGCCGGCCTCCCGGCCGTCGGCGGACGTGCCTGAAAGGTCTTCACCCCTGATTCGCGCGCCTCGTCTGTCGATCGTCGCCGCGGAACCGCGTCGATTCCCCCGCAGGCACCCGCAATCTCGACCATGCACGTCATCATCCGCGCGACCGTACTTTCCTGCGCCTTCACCTTCGCCACGGCGGCGGGGGGCGTCAAGCTGAACAAGAAGGCCTACCCGGTCGAGGCCGTGGTCGCGATCTTCAAGGACTTCCATCCGACGGCCTCGGAAGCCGATCTCGCCGGGATCGCGCTGGCGCTCAAGGGCCTCGAGGCGTCCGACACGAGCCCCGAGGCGGCGGGGGGCGTCAAGCTGAACAAGAAGGCCTACCCGGTCGAGGCCGTGGTCGCGATCTTCAAGGACTTCCATCCGACGGCCTCGGAAGCCGATCTCGCCGGGATCGCGCTGGCGCTCAAGGGCCTCGAGGCGTCCGACACGAGCCCCGAGGCGGCGGGGGGCGTCAAGCTGAACAAGAAGGCCTACCCGGTCGAGGCCGTGGTCGCGATCTTCAAGGACTTCCATCCGACGGCCTCGGAAGCCGATCTCGCCGGGATCGCGCTGGCGCTCAAGGGCCTCGAGGCGTCCGACACGAGCCCCGAGGCGGTCCCGTCCGACGACGCCGAGGACGCGGACGTCGATGGTCTACCGGGCGTCGAGGACTCGGCCCGCCATCTCTCGGAAGCGTGCGCGGACTCGGACGACGTGGCACAAGAAAGGCGACGACGAGAAGAACTGCGCCTGGGTCGGCAAGAAGAAGGCGAAGCGCTGTACGGGCAAGGTCAAGTCCGAGGGTGGCGTCCTGGCCAGCGTCGCCTGCCCCGTGGCCTGCGACACCTGCCTGGCGACCTGCGTCGAGGGGCCGTCGTGCGCGGACTCGACGACATGGCACCAGGGCTGGAAGAAGTCGAAGACCTGCGCGTGGGTCGGCAAGTCGCCCGCGAAGCGCTGCGACAAGGAGTCCAAGTCCAAGGGTCTTGGCCAGCGACGCCTGCCCCGTGGCGTGCGACGCCTGCCCGACCTGGGCGGAG